TGGTGAAAGTGGTAGGTCTGAGCCCCGGCAAACTAAGTGGTCGTTTGTCTGGTCTCGACAAACTTGGGTGGAGCATCGCAGATGAGGAGGGTGCGCAGGTAATGCTTGACACAATAGGTGCAGGATGTTTGGTCGGGTTAGGAATGGTCGATGGAGGATATTAGCTCAAGAATGACTTGTGTACGGAGGAGTAGCAGCCTCTCACACGGAAGATTTAGGCGGATGGGAGCGCTCTCTGAAGGGCGTAGATGAGGAGGATGCACAGGCGAAGTTTCAGACAGTAGGTGCTGGATGTTTGCCTAGAGTACCTGTGGAGGGAGAGGTAGGTGGAGTTTGTTTGCTTGGAGTTACTGTGGAGAGGTAGGAGGGATTGATTCTCTGTGAAGATGCGACACGAGTACCTTTTCAGGGAGACTCTAGGTCTCAACTGCAGATCTTGGTGCGGACGCAGTCAAAGGCATCCTTTCTGTTCTGTATGTCGCCGCCTGGCGGCGCCTATGGTCGCCTCTTTAATCTCTCCGTGTGGCATATGAAAAAGAGCTTGTAGTCCAGAGAAGATTAGTTTTGAGAATCCGTTTATCTCAGGTTGTTCGCCGGATGATCTTATACAGAGTTCCATGATTTGTGGCTCCAGCACCTTCGGCTTCCAGGGATCCTTCAGTATATCATTGCGCACCATGAAAGGTACCCATTACAACATCAAGGGCCGTGTGAGCACTACGTCCCGGTCTGAAGCCATGTGAATACCCCAGATGGACTGAGATGAGCTCTGAAGGGTGTCCGAGTAATTGTCAGTGTTTTTCTGGTCGAGTCCTGCTTTACATGGTGAATACCCCCAGATGGACTGAGATGAGCTCTGAAGGGTGTCCAAGTAATTGTCAGTGAGTTCTGCTTTTTTACATGGTTGTTCATTGCAACTCAGTGACGTGCATAAAATTTGCTTTCCCACTTGTCAGTTGCCTGGTGCATTGATATAGAGTTGGTGAACATCCGCGAGCTATTGCGTATCTGTATTTCTGGAGAGAGAGAGAGAGAGAGAGAGAGAGAGAGAGAGAGAGAGAGAGAGAGAGAGAGAGGGTAGAAGCACCAGGTTTGTGTGGAGGGATGTGAGTTTGAATTGTCCACCCACTGGCAGCCACAACATGCTGGCAGTTGACAACAACGTTCCGTCCTCCCTGCCCCATCACCCCTCACCCCTGCCCCTGCCCCCTTCTCACTTCCAACAGAAAGATTGAACTGTCAAGAGGCCTCCACTCTTCTGAGAATGTGAAGGGAGCACTGTGTTGCAAGGGTGGCCATGGATCTTGGCTGTTGCCGCTGACTGATTTTGTGGTTCTGCAAACCTAGGTGGATGCTTTAGCATGGCGCATGGATGCGTCCTTCGGTACTTGATTTGAGTTTGTCTCCCCATGGAGCATGGAGGCTTCCTTCCATACTGGATGTTTTTGAGTTTGTCCCCACGTAGTATCAAAAGCGTGGAGGGCAAAGAGGGATCACATTTTTTGGGAAGTGATGGGTGACCTAGCAAGCATGGGTTTAAAGAACCTTCAAACTTTTTTCAAGTTTTTTGTACTTTGTACGCACGCATTCCGTCCGTCATCATTCAGGGAGCCGTCTTGTTCGTGAAGTCAGGAAGACATAGGTCGGCTTGGTGGAAGAGATTACTTTTTAAGGTTTTACTCAATTCCGGAGGATTTCATGTCGTCCTGGCTGTCGTTCCTCGGCGAGGATTTCATCTCCTGGCAGTCGTCATCATTCACGATCTCGTGAAGGGTGTCAGGTACCAACCTGACAGCCTCGTCTGGGCGGTGGCGGAATGCTGTATAGGTTTAAGTTTATAGGAGTTCATATGCGTAGGGGTTTAGCCCGTTCAACGCGCAGTTTGTAATAACTGGATATGGTGGGGACCACACGGAATCATGTGAAGGGGTTGTTGAATGCTGCTGTACCATTTTTTTGTGATATCCAGGTCTTTTTCCTTTCGTACGCCTGCAGTAGTTGGTCTGGGCAGATGACCTGGATGGTGGGGACCACTCTGAGCATCCGTACGCATTCACCTCTCCGAGTGCATCCCTGTCCATTGGCCAAGCAACTTGGAATCACTTTTTATTTTTTTCTTCTCAACCTCACCGGTTTCTTTTTTTTTGTGTGTGTACTCTTTGATGCTGTAGGCTCTCAAGGTAGACTACTGAATTGAGAGCTTCAACTGCAGTTCTAGGTTGATCGCACTTGATGCTTTGTGGTCGTTTTCTCTTTCATCACCTCAGCTGCTCTTACGGGCGAAAGTCAAATCGTCTGCGATAGCTGCACGGTGAGAACGCAAGCATTTAATTTGTGCTTCGCTTTGTGGAGAGGGAGACAGCTATAGCTGGGCAAAAAGCTTTGCTTGCAGTGCTTAGATAGTCAGTCAGCCATACCATCAATTAGTAAAACATAGCATTTACGGAGAGGTTTCTATGACTACTGTAGAGGGGATTACAGAGGTTTTGTCTGCGGGGTGCAATCTTTTGCAGTCTTGTCTTTGAGAGCTGTGTAGATCTTCTTAGGTCTGTCTTACTGCTTTGTCTATAATGCCCTCAATGGAGGAGGGTGAGCGGGCTCGAGAATATACTCTCGTGGTCGTAGGTGGAGCTCATATTGTTATAATTGTTATATTCAGCGGCGTTGTTTGCGCTGGGTTATGAGTAGGTGTTTTCGTTTGGCACATCTAGCTTTGGCGGACGAAAAGCTGCTCAGGGTATCTTGAGACAGCTTTTAAACCACCGGTATTTGGCCCGTACATCAGCTGCGGGCCCTTGTCGCATACGCGCTGCGATTTTCGGGTGGGCTTGGGTGTCGGAGCAAGCCAAAAGAAAGTTGCACTGATTCGTTTTCTTTTGGCACGCAGTGCGTTCCAGCATCCGAGAAGAGTGCCTCCAAAGTACTGGTGGTTTAAGGCAAGCAATGGTGAGCCTGACTGTGGCACTCAGGCTATCAGTTTGTATAGACTGTGTAGAGTGGGCTGCTCAGGACATGCGGAGAGCTCGACGCGTTTGCGGAGGGCCATTTGATCTGTGTAGGATCGTTATCCGTCGGTCAGTCGCGTCACATGGCCACCAGAGATTGCCTTTGGGGTAAGATAAGTGTAGGCTTATACTGGCTTTATATCATTGCCAGATCTTGTAGAATCATCTTACTACAGAGATTATATCATCATAACATTATGCTTATTTGTGGCCTTCCGGATAAGATGAAGTGTAGGCTTATAAAGTTGTAAATAGCTTTATATCCATGTGTGGTATGTCTACTCTCTGTTGAAAAGTGGGCCAAGCCAGACTGCCGAAAAACAGACCCGAGTTCAAATCCAGCTGCAATCAAATGAACAAAAAACAAATAATTGAGTTCTGACTTACCTGGGGCCAGGCAGCTCAATGATGATATATCTCAATGTGGTCGTCCATTTGTCGTTGAAAAAAAAAAAAAGGAAAGGTGGAAAAGAAAAGCGAGTCATCTAATGTCTGCCATATGTCTTTGATAATTTTGCGAGAACTTATCCAATTTATGTGTCCGAGTTCATTCACATGATCAGCCTGGCTGTCTAAAGGCAAATGCAACACCTTAGCTGCACTATTTTTTTTGGGTAAGAGTAAATTTTAATGGATGTGAGGCCTGTTCGCTCGGACAAGCCAATGGCTATATGACGTACCCGCTTGACTGAGCTGTTTTTAAAAAGGCGGCTGTCTCGTCTGTAAATTTAAGCGGTCTCAAAACTCTGCGACAACTACTTGGCTAATGTGACAAATATAAGGCTTGTCATGTTGTATTGCTACATGCTACGAGTATAGGTCAACAAAATATACTTCTCCGGTGAAGGAGTTTTTTTTTTTTTTTTTCCCTGCCCTGTAGTGGGGCTTTGAGACAAATGTGTCTGCAGCTCTCAACCCACCCATGGAGCGATCGAGCTGCCTTTTATGACCTCCCGTAGCAGCCCTCAGCTGGCATTCCTCGGGGGGGGGGGGGGGGGGGGGGGGGGGGGGGGGAAGGGAGAGGAAGATGAGTACCAGCTGCAGGGCAAATCAACAAATCTTTATCGAGCAAATTAAATCCAGTTGGAACATAACCAGTATGGGAATAAATCTTTATCAAGCAGATTAAATCCAGTTGGAACATAATCAGTATGGGTTCTGAAAATGTTCAAAAACCACACAGAAGATGGGTACAATTTCAGACTGGAAGATCGGCAAACGACTCCCACATGAAAGAGTTGCAAACACCCCACAAGTACTGCCTCTGGTTCCCGACATGCACGACGTCCGCTATCCCCAACCCACGCAAACACCATAGAAAAGCACAACACAAACCCTACTTCCCTCTTCGCGATCGTCTTTATATGGAAATTCCAATCCATTGCTTTTTCTTCTTTTTTTTTGGCGGGGGGGGGTGTAGAGGCGTGTTTGTGCTCTGTCTTGAGCCTTCGTCTTTGAGAGTTATTTTGGGTTTCATTTGTCTGAACCTCGAGTCTCGCGTGTTCCTATCACCATTTCAGGTCGTTATAGCGGTTGCAGGTTTCCACCCGAGACTCTTGAAATGATTTGAAGTGGTTGAAAATTTGAACGCGGGTTCAAATTCCCTCATCCGAATAGTGTATTTGAAACGCATTTCAGAAGCTTCATCCGCTACAAAATATTATAGAAGTTTTAGGTTCCCACCTGAAATTTCCGAAAGGATTTGAAGTGGGTGAAGATTCGAAAATGGGTTTCGGTCCCTCGTCCAAATAGTTAAAAGGGGTTACCTGAAACCCTTTTACAAGCTTCAACCATTTCAAAGCTCTACAGAGGCCCTGAAATGACTTGAAGTGGTTGAAAATCTGAAAGCGGTTTCGCTATCTGTGAACCATTTATAAAGGGGGACTGTCAACTGCTTGCAGAAGCTTTCAGCGACTTCAGGTCATTTTTTATGACACACAGCGAAGTTAAACCGAAATAAAAACAGGCAAAAAAAAAAAAAAAAAACATCAAAGATGCTTCGCAAACCATCCGAAACTCCTGAAATAACTTGAAGTGTCATAAGACAATTTCAACGGTTTCAAACCACTTCAGGATATTTCATTTTGAAATTTAATGTGGTTGATAACTATTAGTTTGAAAAATGGTTAAAAATAAATATTATTTATAGCAGCGGAATTGACGTTCGGGACATGTCGAACGTCCGAACTCGAAAGCTCGAACCCGAACGCGCGAACCCGAACGCCCGAACGTATGGGACCCCTTGGGGATGCGTTCGGCCGTTCGGGCCGAACGCGGACTCCAAAAAAAAAGGGGAAAAAAAAAATCATTAAAAAAAAGTGAAAAAAAAAAAATGTTATGGAGAAAAATAAATTAAACAAGATTTGTCTCTGCATTACATCCAAATTCCTTACCAAATTTGAAATAAAAATAAAATATGAAAAATAAATACTAAAAAAAAATAAATAAATAAAAAAGAATTAAACTTAGTGAGAGTGATTTATGTTTTTGAAACTGCAATCTTTGGTCATTTTTTAATATTTTTTTGGCATAGCTAAATGCTCTGAAAATTTACAGATGTGTATTGCACATAATCCAAAACCCACTAAAAATGTTTTAAAAAATAATAAAATTATTTAGATCCCGAACTAAAATGCAAACAAAAAGTAAAAAGTGAAAAAATACGTGAGCGAGCACGTTTTGACACCGCCATCTTTGGCGAATTTTAGTTCTTATTTGGCTTAGCGAAATGACTTGAAAATTTACAGGAATGTACCTGACATCATAACGAACTCACAAAAAAAACATTCAGAAAAAAAAATTGTTTTTAGGCCTCTTAAATAATTTTTAGCGGGGGTTGAACGCCGTCGCGTTCGAAACTCGTACGGGACCCCGAATGCCCGTACGTACGGAGGTCTGCCCGGGGATCTCCGTACATACAGGGTGGCCTTGATTTACAGAAGATTATTTTCAACCACTTCAGACTTGGATGGGGGGATTTGAAACCCCTTTTAGAATCTTCAACCATTTCAGATCGGTACAACAGTCGCAGATTGTCACCTGAAACTCATGAAATAATCTAAAATGGCTGAAAAACTAGAAGCGGTTTCAAGTTCCCTCGTCCAAATGGTTGGAAGGGGTTGGATGAGAGTACTTGAAACCTCTTTAAGAAGCTTCAATCATTACAGAATATTACAACAGTTTAAAGTGCTCACCTGAAATTCCTCATAGGGTTTAAAGTGGGTAAAAATTTAAAAGTGGCTTTAGGCTCCTATATCCAAATGGTTGGAAGGAGGTATTTGAAATCCCTTTCAGAAGCTTAACCATTTCAAATCGCTACAGTGGTTGCAGATCCCCATCTGAAGCTCCTGAAATAATTTGAAGTGCTGGTCTAAAATTTAAAAGCGTTTTCCGATGCTCTCGTACAACCATTTTAGATCGGGGAATTCCCACCAATTGCAAAAGCTTCAACCACTTCAAGTCATTTTCGGTGACACACAACTTCAAACCAAAACGAAAACAGACCAAAAAAAAATAAAAAACGTAAAAGATGATCTTCAAACCGTCCAAAACTTTTGAAATAATTTTAGAGCATTTCAAAGTTTGTCAAACTACTTCAGGATCTTTCATTCTAAAATTTAAAGTGGTAGTTAACACTAGTTTCAGACTTTGGCATCTGCCGCAACATGACTGGAGAGGCCAACCAAAACGAGGTCCACGCCGTTTCATTTTGTTTTGCGCAAAGGGCATTTGTAAAACCGAGGTGCTTCGGAAGAAGTGGTGGTTCGACTACAATTGTTTTACTACTCTGATTTAGGTGAGGGGGAGGTTAATCTCGGGTTGTGTTTTTGGTTCATTGACTATGAGATTGTTGCTATTAGTAGAATCCAAATACTGAAACAACGATTTACCATCCAATACAATAGAGTGCAATTTTCAAACTCTCTTTGAATTTGGTAAATTATAAGCGTACATGTTTTTTACTGCTTGTCGTGCTCGATGACTTCGGACGTTAAAAGAGCCGCTCAGACGTCTGGAATGGTTGCAATCAGGAGTGTTTTTTTCTCCCTTAAACCACCAGCACGTCTGAAAAAACAAATTGAGCCTGTCCTTCTTGATTTTCACACTCCTCTCACATTTCATTCCAAAATTATGGGATGTTGAGAACACTGCACCTTCCCAAATCCAAGAAAGGTCGAAACTTTTGTGGGGGTTCAACCTTAAGCCAATCATCGTCTACACTCCTTATATTTTCAAACGACGGTTGAGATATGACGTCTACTTCCGTAGGTGGTTCCACCCAAATATACAGTTTCTGTTTTTTTTCCAAACTTTGATCATTGCTTCCTAAAAGAGGGATTTAACTTGTTTATAGGATACGAATAAAGCATCAGATATGCCCAAAAATCTCGAGGTTTTGGTAGGCTCCATCCTTCTGCCAAGATATGCTCCCACCAAGAGGATCCTGAGATTGTGAGTCGAACATTGCCTTAATGATCCACTTAACCAACACCGCCTCATTCAGTTTTGTTGGGTGTTTCATCTACAGATTGCCTTCTTCACACAATTGGCAAAGAGGATCCAATGCTGAGATTGTGAGTCGTACACTGCTTTGACGATCCATTTATCTACATAGCGTCATTTTATTTCGTTGGGTGTTTCATCCCTATGCCACCTTTCCTACACGATTGACCAACAGGAACCAATGTTGAGATGATGAGTCTGACATTGCTTGGATGGTTTATTGATCAGACGTTCTATTCGAGTGAAGACGATAGCATAGCCTCATTCCGTTTTGTTGGGTCTTTCATCCCCAAGATGCCTTCCTCACGTGGTTGCCAAAACCTTTCCCCATATCACTTTCAAAAACAAACTATCTATTTCTTCGGCAAACGGTTTCCATGAAAAAAACATTGCTCTTTATCTTATATTGGAGTAGAGGTGTTTACCGAATACCTAAACAATCCAATAAACCACAATAGGGTAAACAAGGCCTCATTAATCACCATGGCCCACCTAAATATAGAGATAGGTGGGGGACTTTACCCCAAATTACTACTTTATGTAATAATTTCTGTCGTGAAATTGCATCGTAGTTACCGTCTTGAATTATCTATGAAATAATTGAAAACCATCGCTTGTTCAAAAAACAATAGTACTTCGTGCTTAGTGTGCTAGTTTTTAAAACATATACAAAGTGATTTGCACAAAAATTAAGACATTACGTCAACAGTGCGCTTATAACACTAAACAAAATGGGTATTAGTTTAATCATTCTTGGACTGGCAAATTTTGAAGAAAACACGATTTTGCTCTTTTGTAGTATGAAAATAGAAGTTGTCCAAGAATGAGTACCCAAACCAATCATCATATTGTTGGTCTATAATTATTTCGGGAGTAAAAATATCGATTCATGGCAGTGTATTGAAGCTTTTGAGAGGGCAAAATATTCATCAAGACATGCCTTAAGAGCATTTATGGATTGAGTTGTGTTTTCAACAACAAGAAACAGGTCGTTAATCAATATTGTAACCTTATCTTTTGTGTGTCCCGCATTCTGCTTACGGAAGGATTCCACTGGATATTATTTAGCAACCCTTTCATCTGCAGCGTAAGTAAGAGGGGGGTTAAGGGGCACCCTTGCCTCAACGTCGTAGTCAGAGGAAATCCGTTGGAGACCTTGCTATTCACTATCACCGATATAGTCAGATTGTGCAACGCTTTAACCCAAGTACAAACCTCCTTACCGAATGATGTCCACTTAAATGTGGTTAGGACATATAAGTTGATGATATAACCAATTTACCGGGGTATATGCCTTATCAAGATCAAGTAAGGAAACTAAGATAAATAAGAAAATTATGATATGTAACGAAACTAAGGGTCTACTCACACTAAGGTCTTTTATGGAAAAATAGTTAAAATTTGATTGATGATTGAGCCAGCTGCACGAGGCAAGGAAAGTGGCAAAAGCAGCAAGCGGGGCATCAAAGTAAGCAGCCTGGCAGACCGCGGGGAAGAGAATTTTGCTACCACCGCTGGAGGTGGTAGCAAATTTTATTTTCCAGTTCACAAGTTTGTGAAAGAAAATTCGAAATGAGCTTTGTTGAGAAAAAAAAAAGTTGAAGGATTTGGACTTCACACTCTGTAACCACGCGAGGCTCAATTTTGGCAATTGCCAGAAATTCCGGCTTGCATCTTTTGTGATTTGTTGCCGCTATGCGACAAGGCGGGGTGACATTCCAAAAATTTGTGTAAATACTAATCCACAAAACAATCAAATAATTCAGAAAATGGCAAAAGAAACATGTCAAAGTTATATAAATCATAAATGGATTGGAGGTTTTTTAACCAATTGGAAGCACATTTTTCATGTACAAGCGCATTTTCAACACTTTGAAAACTTATCACTCAAAGCTTTAGATACAGCACAACATATTCGCAAGGTGCCGCGTTATAAAAAAATGAAAAAATGCTTTGAAGGAATTGTTACAAACGATATTCCAGACTGCTTGGTGATAATGAATGCAAATCAGAATTCCATGGCCATAATTTGCAATTTTGATGCTATGCCACCGTTGTGTGAGTATGTCATAAGATAAGTAAGAAAACGAAGATGTCCGTGTTCGCTTTGTGGATTACTTCTAGAGACTCAATGTCAACGATCGAGCGGTCCCGAACAAAGACTGTATGATCTAACTGAGTGATCTAAGAGCACTGACTCGGTGAGATACCTGCCCAGTCTTCTATCCAAAACCTTGATTCGTATGTTATATGACACATTCAACATCGAAATTGGCCGTCAATTCCTTAATTGAGTCTTATGCTCTTCTTAAACAACGAGGAGATAATTCATTCGCACACATTACTTAATAATCTACCTTAGTTAATAATCTACCTCTGATCACTATGTTGCTATAAATTTGTACTAAACATTTCCCTGCCTCGTTATGAATAACTAAGTACAGCTCCATAGCTAGCCCATCGTTGTGAAAAGTTTTCCCTTTAACTGACCTTATGTTAAAACTGCCAATTTTTTTTTAATTCACGAAATTGAGCGTACAAAATAAAAAAATATATTTCTAGCTTTTTTTTATCCCCATGATGTCGGATCATCTGATGGTAGGGTGTTGTAACGAAGTCTGATGATCGGACCCTCAAATGTTTTTTTTTTTTTTTTTACCAAAAACAGCCCGAGTGCATGCTAGAGGTGCTGGTAAGAGCAAACACTGCTAGCACGCTCAGGAAGGGTCCATCTACTGGTGGGGAGCAACACCTGCCGGAAATCGGGTCCAGCGTCCCTGCAAACATCCAAATTATCACGAGCGTGCCATGTGTCACAACCTTCATCCTAACCAGTTGTAGTGGCAACACGAGAGCACGCACCATTCAACGCAAGGAGCAGCATTGATTGCCCTCTTTCCGAGGGGATTAACCGCCCATCGCAACCTAAAAACTTATACCTATTCTGAAACCCTCGTCCATGTCATACGAAGACCATAAAACACTACGAGAGGAAGGGATATTCAGAATAGGAAAATTGAAATACAGTTGTAGCGATCCCGCATCCAAACACAGCAGTGAACCACCTGAGCCGCCACGTGGCACATTCATGCCACACAACCACTCACTATTCGTGTCCACGTGGCAGCACCTCCAACTTCCGGGAATCGCGAATTATGTGTTGATACCAGACACCGGCAGCAAAATCGTGAGCGAAAACCGCCACCAGACAGACAAGGTCAAACAATTATTATGGTGGATGCCATCATCTCTCCCAAATTGTTTGACAATCAATCGCACCTCCAGCAATTAAGCCGAGACCTCACACGGAGAGACAAAGCTTTATATCAGCTACCCAGCCGACGCAATCGGCCAATCCACCCGAGGAAAAGGACATGAAACCCATCCCTATCCCACCCCTTCACGCCTCCCTCCCACTTCCCACCTCCCCGCTTGGCCTTCCTGCTCGCAGAGCAACACGATGCCCCGCCCCTTTCCCACCTCCCCGCTTGGCCTTCCTGCTCGCAGAGCAATACGATCCCCCGCCCCTCTCGCCCCCAACCCCAATCATGCCCCACAACAGGCCCGAGGGGAGGCAGAAAGAAAGCCAAGCAACTCACACTCACTAGTCCCCCAATATCGGCGGCAATTTGGTTGTTGCTACTGATTAGATCGATACATGCTGCATCACACTTGTTGTTGTTCTTGTCTTGGAGAGCATCATCGTTCCTGCCCGCATCTCCAACGATGAAGCAGCTGGCCCAGAAGCCATTCCCGAAATCTTCATCATCATTTTTGCCAAACCCGCCAAACCCTTGTCCCTCCTCAAGGATCTTGCGGCCGCCCAACTTCAGATCCGCGAACTCCACGTAAGGGGGCAGCCCCTCTTCCAACCCCCGTGGAGCATGACCCTGCGCAAACATCTCACGTTGCCAGACACAGCCAGGATCATTTGATGATGCCACCTCCATAGATGTTGTAGTTAACAGCATAGCCATTGTGGGCTCTAACTGTGTAGCCATTGCTGATACTGCTGTTACTTTTGATGATAATGTTGTTGTAGATGCTGTTAATGATGCAGTCACTGCGATAGATGCAATTGGCAATGAAGCCGTATCAACCACCAATGATGTACCTGCGGTCGATGGCAGTGCTGCTAATATCGGTGATATTGATGATGTTATCAATGATATTGATGCTGTCGATGCTGTCCGTGTCTGACTACCTGGCAAACCTCCCGCATGTCTCTTCGCTAGAAGGCCAGCAAACATGTCTTTGACCTGCTGCAGCATCTCCACGCAGTCGTAGAAAGCGGCGATCGCCCGCGCTCTGTCAATCTCATCCCGCTGTGGCAAAGAGATCAGCTCATAAAGCTCATCATCCCAACCATCGTAGGTTTCCTCTCCCTCCAGCAGAACATCGTGTGGCAAATCTCCATTCACTTGACACAGCGCTGCGAACATCTCCTCCAACTGCTGTTTATAGGTTATCACAGT